CTAACTCGAATCAACTCTGAATTTATCTGTATGTGTGTCGATCTCGATTATTTTTGTTATCCAATTAAACGCCACTTTTAACGCACTTGCCCTCATCGTGACCCGACGCGTTCACCTATTTCAACAAAATGTCAATTTATTTCCACGCGGCTGTCATTTATTTAGTAACTGTGATTTGTCATTTTTTAATTATTGTATAGTGATCACTATAGTCTAATGTTTAGAATGTCAAAATATGTTCTCTTTTATATAAGATTTTGAAATAAAACAGTGTGGTGACGTGCCTAGTAACCTATTTTGTCCAGCGACAGTGTACAAACGTGTGCCGGTGACGATCACGGTGACCAGCTACACCAGAACGAACATATTTCACATCTAACTCAACCCCATGCAACAAAAATTGATACTATGTGTTCATTATGGTCCATTTCTCTTCGACGATCAAGTACATAAGTGAACATTTAGTCAAAGACGAGAAAACTGCACAAGAAATTTGCCTTATTTACACGCATGACGTCACAAGGGGAATTTCTGTATGCAAATAAGAAGCTAATGAGGAGCCTCGTTTTAAAATACACAAAAATAAAGTTGCCGTAGATTGAGTTGAAAACACATTTTTTTCACTCAAAAAAATAATTAATGCTTAGAAACATAAAAAGTAATAATATTTATGTATCAATGGATAATTTTAGGCGTGAAAATAGCAGCCATTTCACAGGCACTTTAAGTTGATTATACATTTGTATACTGAATGGAAATACAGCTAGTAATATCAATTTTAGAAACGACCAGTCATTTGGCAATCTTTCCATGTGTATCCGTTCTAAATATTTCTTTTCTGATTATATGCAATGGTTGTTTCATCGGGGAAGATAACGCAATTTTATATGACAACGTTGAAGATAGAAATACCAGTTAATGTCTCTTACAGCACGTGGATATTCAATACAGAAGTTATAGTTACATTCATAAACCATTATATTCACTTTTGTCGTAAAACGTAAAAGTCAGTTGTTTCTTTCCGGAATTAAATTGCCTATTAGCATATTTGAGGTATATATTTACATCGTCTTGCTCGGCAATTATCTCCCGTCTAATATGCTAATTATTCCCGCAAGGGCTTTGTTTTCACTTCTAAATACTTTCAAATTCAAACCCAGCAAAATAGTATAATGTAATAGTACAGTGTCTTTTCACAATAAATAATTTATTCACAGAATATTTGATTGTGTCATTTGTATGTATATTGTTGATTATTTGAATAATTGAAATGTGTCCCGAAAATCTTATAGCTGAACTTACTTGAAACACTGCGATAAAGACTTTTAAAGACTTTAAAGTTTTTCGTTTTTATCCAGAAAAATACAGTAATTTTATCAACTAAAATCTTATTTATGAAAGTTATTGTTCATACATTCTTTCAGTCATAATTCAAGACAAATAAAGGTAAAAATATAGCAAATTATCGTTCTCTTTACTATTCTTGTGTAATCAGACAATTATTTATGGGTGCATATGGAATACATTTCGTTGTGAATTATTCTTAATATAAATTTCTAAATTATCTTGTCAAAATCACTTTTTTTCATGTTTTTTTCTCCCAAAAAACGAAAATATTTCGCAATGTTGAAAATGGAAAGTCGTTATCGTACTGTTATGACTTGATGCTTGTCATGTTTTATATTTGTAATATTCTGTACATGCATCCCACCAAATGTTGAAATCCGCTGTTTCTGATGAAACAATCCTCTATGATTTTCTCACGTATTTTACCATTAGTGAATATAAAATCATCATCGCAGTACAGGAAGTATTTGCTTCGAAT